AAATAAGCATAGGTTGAATTTCAGTATTAGTTGACTACAACATAGGTCACCACCCAGGTAGATGATCGAGAAATCAAGCATCAAGAACCTGAGAACTGAACTTTAAGAAACAAGATCGGCGTGACATGGATGTCATTAGATCTAAATCGACAACCCAGTTGACTGTAGCCAAAATGAGTGATGGTGCGTTGGAGACTGCCGTAAACCGAGCCCTTATTGGTACACTTGGCACACCGAATGTACGGAAGAAGATAGGGAGTGTCGTGGCCGCAAGCTTTGAAACATTGTGAGACCCAATATACCAAATTCTAGGCTAAGGAACCACTTTCATTGCTACCCTGGCGTTTTCCGCCAGGATGTGGTCCTAACTCTCCACGTGGCACCTGGCGAAACTAATCCGATAGGTTTTTCTTTTTTTTGGGGGGGGGGGGGGGGGGGTTGGATTAACCTGGACAGGAGATGGGCAAAAGGAGATCTCCTAGTTCGGACTCCCTTGTTGAGCAGAGCATACAGAGTAGTTCTACCTGATTGGAGTTCTCCCACATCGTCATGTAGCTGCGTTGGAAACGTGGTCTCGAATTCCTACGTTCTGAGACGCAGAAAGGACCCAGTCGCGCAAAAAATCCCATGTAGAGTTCAGCCTTCATGTCAGCATGATAGTAACACTACAATCGGGGAGACTGCAACACTGGCGAAGTGTTGGTGCGATCTAAGAGGAGACAAGAGTTCCATGAATGTCGATCATACAGAGACACACAAGCGCTCGCGAAGGACGACCTCATGAGAAAGATGGTATTGGACAGAGAGCAGCCTAAACCCGCAAAGGACACTGTGAAGAGAGGAATCAAAAGAGCAAGGCAATAATTAAAATATCTGAAACAACAAGAGAAAAGCAGCAACATCGACTAAGCACGCAGAACTAAATGCCAACCGGACACCAGCATCAGGAGATTCCATAAAACAAACCCAAACCCGTCCCGAACCCATCCATACCCAAGACAATTGCTAGTCCGAACCTCTATCTATTCTCATGGATGCAGTTCCTCATCTGATCGTGTCTCGGTTAATGTCATCCGCAAGCATTTAACAAAAGAAAATGGAGGGGGGTGTTGCAAAGGCGAGATGACACATTGAAACAAAACAATAAATCGCAGATTTGGAAACACGATCAGACCGTCCGACTCCTTCCAGTGCGCTGGTTTCCCATCAATACAAGTACAAACGGATAAGAAAATGCATGCAAAACAAAGGAAATAAGAAATCAATCGAGAGGCATAGATGTGTTCTCTCGTGGGAATCAAGGGGCTTATGCAATGAAGTTATAAAACAAAGAAAATGGTGGAAAATTCGAAGCGGTTGCGACACACTTGGGTTGTGAATCGCGTCATACAGCAGTGGACCATGCGTGGTCACCTCGGGGCTTCATTTCGTAGTTCTCTGGCTCGGTGCTGGTAGGCCGACGAATGGTTGAGTTGGGGAAGTACATGTGGGGCGGCATCGATGTCGGATACGCGGGGCCAGTAGGCTCAGGGTAAGTGAAGTCGTTGGCCGATCCGGGCGATGGCATACTTCCGTGGGACGGCGAGGCCCACCCAAGACTAGTCATGTGTGGACTACCATTCACGCTATTGGGGCGGTGGTCACTGTTGGCCGGGGGCTCAAGAGGTTGAGGCGGAGCGTAGGGATGCGAGGTCATGGATGGCCGGGTGTGGGGCGCACTGCCGTAGCTGGACAGTGAAGGAGAGGTCGCTGTTGGGGAAGCTCGGGGGCTGCCTTGGGGGAAATCTCCACGCACATGAGGCGGGATAGGACCGGTACCCATGTAGTAATCGCCGGCAGAGCGGTGCATGTTTAGCGGCGGGAGCTCACCACCAGGTGACATGGACGAGTGCTGCGCAGGTGACGGCGTAGAATGAATAGAAGCGTGCTCGGAAAACATTCCTTCGCCAGGACGTCCCCGATCCTTATTTTGCCGCAACTGAGCCTCTGTTTCAGCGGCGGCTTCTTCAATGGTCCCGGTGTGGTGGTTTTGGTGGCGTGTCAACGTCGTACGGCGGGTGAAGGTCTTCTGACAGTTGGCGTACGGGCATTTATATGGTCGCTTGCCAGAGTGGATGCGGCGATGTCTGGCCAGCGAAGAAGAGTCGCTAAAGGGCTGAACCAAGATTAGATCTAACCAAAACAAAGAGAGGAAAGACACACACCTTGCCACATCTCTCACACATATGAGGCTTCTCTCCGGTGTGGACACGCGAGTGTACCGTCAAAGCTGAGCGTTGAATGAACTGCTTCCCACATCCTGGCCACTCGCAAGCGTGGGGTCTAACTCCGGTGTGAATACGCTCTAAAGAATTGTCAGTGGCCGCATCTCTGATGATTGTGGAGGATACATACCGTGTCGAGCAAGGTCGCTACGCCGGGCAAAGCCCTTGTTGCAGGTTGAGCAGTGGAAAGTCTTTGGTGGTGGTTCAATTCCTGCTCTACCCTGTGGAACAGGTTCCTGCTGCATCTGGGGATCGCCAGCGTATCCCGCAGGGGCGTAAGCCATGTTCCGAGGGGTTGAACCCGTGGGCTGTGCATAATAGAAAGAATCGGCCAGTCCGGCATCCATTTGCATGGGTGGGGGGCCGTGAGGAGGGTATGCGTTGACCGGGTGGTCGGAGCCACCTGATTCGCTCTTCATGGTGGGCGAAGCTCCGGTGTGTAACTGTGCACTCTGTTGAAAGTACTGTTGTTGTAACTGCGCTTCGGCGGCGGCGGCGGCTGCAGCGGAGTTTTTCCTGTTCAGGATGGTCGTGAAGTCCATGACCCGACCCAGCAAGTAGCCAAGGGACCGCGGTCAAGGACTGCTTTCGAAGACGTCCTTCGGCAGACCTTCCACGACTAGTATTCCGACGAAGTCTGATGGGTAATTGGATTCGAAGTCCTTTACGCGTAAGGACTGGCTGATGAAGGGGGGCAGGTCGTTGGGAGTGAGATTCGGATCACAAGTAGCAAGCTCTGCAAGTTGCGATAAAGTCAGAACCAGTTACCAGGAAAATCGATCGACCTCGATTGTGCCAAAACTCCGCGAGTGCACAGCTCGTGGGAAGGACATGGACCAGAAACTCACCGTGCGTGAACCTGTTTTACACTTTATGTCTTGGACAGTCGCTCAGCGAAGAATGGAACGGGGTTGATTCTCCACTTTTCTGCAGTGGAATGCAAGGTTGCGTAAGAGGTATCGAACGATGTGCTTTCTGGAAAAAAAAAAGAGCTAAGCTCGCCTCAGAGAATAATGTTGTGGTCGGCTAGAGGCGGAACGCGCGATCGGTTGTTGGCGAAGATGGAAGAAAGATCGGTCTGCTATCCCAGTCAAGATTCCTATGCGGTACTTAAAAGGGCGACGGTCAGCATGAAACGAATATCAAGACGATGATTGCGATTCCGCCTTGTTTCCATCCCAGTATTGTAAGCTGGTAATCGTCTCGCCTGTGCGCTACGGACCTCGGTGAGGGAGACCAGTCATAACACGAAGTTCTAGGAAAACGAAAACGAAAATACTAGCACAATTGGGAAAATTGTCCGTGTCCACAAAACCCAAGATCACAGAGTAGCCAGAGAGGGTTGGGCAGCCAAGGCGAATAGGCGAGATGCGTCATCGGCAAATCGCGGTCAAGGGAAGTGAAGGAAACACCAAAACACACCTTTTGAGGGAAGCTCGAGGTTTCAAGATAGTCTGAAGAGTCGAGGGCGAAAGGAAGAGGTCCGAGGGAATTTGGCAGGAATTCGCGCAGACCAGGTAAGTGGGGAAGTAAGGGAAAATGTAGACAAAGAAAGATGAAGATTGAAGATGAAAAGAAGAAAGGAAGAGGGTTAAAAAGTAGATGAGAAAGGGGGGGGGGGAGAAGAAGAAATAGGAAATATGATTATTGCACATTTAGGTGATTTAGGTGTGGTAGGTGCCACTGCCTCTTGCATCTTTGTACATCATTTTATTTACATCATTTTTTGGGGGGACTTTTTGGGAATTTTTTTTTTGGTTTTGGATGTTTTTGATTAAGCATTTAGTGAGTCCTTAGTGAGTATTTAGTGAGTGTTTCCAGTATTCAAGTAATATAATCCCAATTTCATGTCTGACTTTTTTTACTATATTGCACTTCCCACATACAATATAGTTATTCCAAGTTTATACTCACATATAAGACATTCCCCAACACTCTCCTAAACTCAGCTCCCTTTCTAGAAGGGCTAGCTCTCCCTAGTCGGACCCAGCGAAGCCCGCTAGAAGGAAACCTGACCGCACCAGAAGGATCCACAACGTGCCCTGCTCCCCGTGCGAAAATGGATACCAAAGGCCGATCCCAACAATTTCCGAATTTTTTTTTTTCCCTCAATATGGCCTCCTGAAATTTCTCTCTGGATATACCCTGTAATGTGACGTTCATTCCCCAGACCATGACCCAAATTAAGGATAGAATCGGACTAACAGGGAACTAATGTACTCCGTATGTAGGTGTTAATCAAGTTCCACTCACAGTATGAAAGGGGGGCCGAACTACGACCCCTGAAGCTAAACAGAAAATGCATACATTTCCAATCTTCCGGACTTTGTGATTAAAAATCTAGAGAGAAAAAAAAATTTGGAAAAAGCAAGGGCAAAAAAGCCAAAAACGAAGAAAATAATGAAAAAGAAAAGAAATGGAAGACTCCGGTGATCAACCATGACATGCAGGTTTCTCATGGTGCGACACAAGAAGTGATTATACTTATCTTTATGTTGGGAGATTACCTCGATAGTCTATCCCAGCTACTGTTAGCTGTTATGCAAAATCGAGATATACCTTCTAGAAGAGTTTCCGCAATCACGACAGTAACCTTGTACTCCGTACCTCACGCAGCATATATAGGTTACAATGTCAACACTGTTGGTAGGACGAACTCACCTCAACTTTCTATTCTCACCTTCCTACCTGAACTCTGACGATCCTGCAGTGGATCTAACCCGGTGTGCATAGGTAATGGAATCTCACCCGCCCCTTTTTCCCTTCCGGGGGCACTACAAGGCTCCGGCTGGCCTTCAGCCTCTAGGAACCCACTCCACTGCCACAAAAGACGGCACGGATAGCTCTGCCAAGCCTTCTCCTTACCTTCCAGAAGGCCGCCAGAAGGGTTTTGGAACATCCGTAGAAGCCGTAGAAGCCGTGGAAAGAAAAAAAAAAGAGAAGAAACGCGCGGCCCATCCTACGCACGGTTCGAAGCCTTACCAGGGGATTCTCCCTGAGCCTGTTCACTCTACCTTTCACATCGAGGAATTAATGTAGGAATAAAATAAACACAGCCTAACTTATGTTGTATATTCGTTTAGAAGGAAATTAGAATAGAATCCCAAAAAAAGGGGGGTCGGGGCACCAGGATGACAAGTCCAGTCATACTCTGACCAGGTGACTTTTCAGGGCAGTTCTTCATTGGCGTGATCTTCTATCCTCTCACGGTCTCTCTCTCTCGCACACACACCTACCGTTCTCAGCCCCTGGCGAAGCTAAAACACACCCCTGGTGACTGTGACGAAAGTGACGACACCGATCATCCTGTACACTGCACTTGCCAAGTTTGGTCTAACCCGGGTATCCTGCGGGGAGTTGTATATTACCTCCCTTCGATATTCTCAGGTAAGAATATCTAGCATGCAGATCCGTGCAAAGCCGAATAAATAAGGCGCTGGCGTCTTGGGGATTTGATAAACCAATGACTGACAAGCTGAACTTATTATAGTTCGCCGTTGTTTTCCTTGATTCTGCGCAATCGCCAGTAAACCCGAAAATCGAACTAAGGCGGGTCAGGCCGACGCACATTGGATGGCTCGACACGGGGCGGTTCCCACATGGTTGTGGCTGAGACGTGTCTTGGTGTATCACGTCCACGCTAGTCTCCATTTTTCTATTAGTAGAACATGTCCTTGAGCCTGTAAGCTGCCCCTAGAATGGGACATGTCCTGTACATGTCAGTTTTGGGTGTGTTTTATGGCTGCAAGGTTAGGTTCTGACAAATGAGGTGCGATTCCTCCCTTCCCCAGGCCCCTGGGGTGACTCTTGTGACTCTGTGCATATTGACCGTGGAAGATCAGACACGGCCCCATTTTGTTGCACAACATGCATAATCAGATATACAACAAATGCACTCCGTGCAAAGAGACAAAAAATCCACAAAATCCAGGAACAGCCGTTGACGCTATGACCAAAAGGCCCATTTTTCAGTCTCTCCTGTCGTAGATTCCACTCTGATGTCACACTCCTCCCTGGGGAAATTGAGCACTGGCCCACTGATGTGCCTAACTCATCACACCAAGGTAAATAGTCACCGATAAGTCAACACTAGCTCGTCTCAGCCTGCTGCGCGAGTTCCAACTGCAGAATGCTAATATGCCTGATAACACCCAAATATACTCCGTATAAAAAACACGTGGCGTAGAAGATGACCCTGAAGCAATGTGTTCCACTATACCCATCTCTAATTCTAGTTTCGACTGCCTTCCGAAGACTCAAAAACGCACATCTGTGTGATGGAACTTGATTCAGATTGTTGGTCACTGTCAGTGGGGAGTCTCCATCTCTCACTGGCCCCAAAAGATCAACTAGCCCTGGATTATTTACATTGGTCTTAAATGATTTTACTGCCTACGGAGTACTGCTTGCTCCACTTGGTCTCACATCCATTTTATTGTGCATGATATCTATGATCGACGTTCAACGCCGATCGATCTTCAGGGGTTCCATAGGATCTTCGCTAGGTCACGGTCTTCCCCTACAATATCCTCCGTGCGAAATGTTACTGGTTCAAGCCGTTATTGTCATCAATAGACGGTGGTCAGATAGAACCCCGTGTGTTCGCGGAGTTGCGCACATTCCTGAAAGAGGCTTGATTCTTTCTCGATCTCGAAGCCTCTGGCTGGTATATTAAATCCAAAATCTACGGTATTCTGGGTGTTTGATCTAGTCGAACATTGCAGCTGTGGCGTTTAATTAAGTAGGCCAGGTCTTGAACACATACCTCTGGATGATAGGGTGGAAAATACATCGAACGACAAACCACATGGTTGACACTGAATTACAACGCATGTTAAACACGCCACAAAAGATCAAATATAGGGCATATCCACATGGGCAGATGCAAGGGACCGGACTTTTTTTATCGGTTCCATGGTACGGGACAACGTCTATCGGTGAGCTATGGCCTTCAGGGGTTTGACAGCATTGCTTGCCATGGTAGACAGGCGGGTAAGACCCGCCTGTTCCTTTTTCTTTATTTGCATTTCAAAAGCCTAGCTTTGCAGGTTTGTGTTAGAATAGCCACGAGACCTACCAAGAGCAAGTAGCCTACGGAATACTCAAGAGGATCGTTTCTCAGAACTATCTGTCAAACC